AAGGGGGGGGGGGGGGGGGAGGGATAATGTGGATCTCGCTTCGAATGAAAAGTCATTATAAAATTACTTAAAGCAGAGAATTTTTGTTTTATATAATAGAACTTTTTTTTAATAACTTTTAACGAGCATCGAGCAAAACCTATTGGAAGTCACTTAGAAATCATGAACTTGACAACATATGTCAAGTCATTGGAAGATCAAGGTCATCGAAAGATAGTCCCTATTTCTAAACGTCTATCAAAATTAATTAAAAAATTATTAATTAATTTTATATATGAATAAAATAATTTTATTAATTCCGTTATTTAATTTATATTTATTTCTTAAACAATAACTTACCTCTTCCAAATGCAACAACCATCATATTTAGGGAAAGATAGATTATAAAATAGAATTTAATTATCTGAAATACAATCATAATATCTAATGTAGAAATTGATCTATTATATAAAAAATATAAAATGTACTCACTTGTATTGCACGAAATATTACGCTCATTGTTAACATATATCAGATCTATCTAAGTTAACGATACTCTTTTAGACTGTCTTTGTAGTAGAATAGCGAATGCTTTAAATTTATCGCGTTTATAATAAAAAGTGCAACGGTTGAGTGATCTTTTTATATGATCTGTATGTGTGTGTGTAGTCTTAAATATCTTTTCTACTTTCGCTTAACCCAGATTTGATATTTTATATTGTGCATACCACTATAATCATGAAGAAAGATGTTCATACAATGAGTTTAAGAAGATATCTTAATATGAATAGATATATTTTTTTGTACTGATATATTTTATTAGAAAACTGTATACAGATCTCAATTCAGGATTGAACACATCCAAATTGAGGATTGAACAACGATGTTAAAATAAATATTATGTTCTTTATTCGCTATTACTTTCTCCACACTGACAAATCTCACCAGACTATTTTTCTAGATTGTCCACATACATCAACGATTATGCAATTCCACGTATAAAAGTCCATTGTACATTAATTTAAGAAGTAAAAAAAGAGGAAAATGCGGACTTTTAGAATATCTATTCCGACCACATGTGAGAAACAGATATTATTCATTGTCACTAATGTCCTCATCAGTTGTGAATTCGGAATGTTCATCAGCTGCATCCACATCTTCCGCAGTTTCTTCATCTGAGATGTCCCATTGCGGATGCTCGGTCGGTATCTCTGGTGCCTCCTTCACATCCAACTATAAAGCATCATCGCATTGTTGTAAATATAAATAATTAAAAAAATGAGCTTTTTTTAGACAGCTTCTTAAATAACTCACTTTGATATCTTGAGCTTGATCAAAGCCCAGATATGAATCACTACGTAAACACACTGTAAATGTATAAAGGCCTGGCCAGCGTGGTGCTGTGAATCTTAATTGAATCTCCTCAAACTGTGCTAAGGACGTGACGTGTATAGGGGTTGTTAATAGTGTTTGACTTTTGCGATCACAGATATAGACCCACCAATACTCTTGCTTAACATCAGGAAAGAGCGGACAGTGCACTTCATGTGACAAATTACTCCTTCCCTCTAGTACTCTCTCCCGTTTAGAGATCCTCTGTTGGAATCTATTTGAAAGAGAAGGAAACGTTAAATTTGATTGTGGAAGACTTATGTAAGTAATGATTTAATATAGAACGTAAAAAAAATAAGTATAAATATTTCTCTTACTTTTCCCATTCGGTATCATCGTCATCGAGAGACGCATCCTTTTTGTCGTGACTATCTTCGTCATCACTTCGATCGCTCTCGGCTTCACTGTCACTAACATCCGACAATTTCTCCTTGGAAGACTCTTTCTCCGTCTTATCGTCTTTCTTTCTCGCATTAGGAGTATTGCTGTGCTGAGTATTGTTAGCCACAGTCTGAGACTGTGCCTGTGTATTTTTAGCAGGAGCAATCTTCTTGTTCGTACCCTTTTTATGTGACTTCTTTTGGCCTTTCTTTTGCTTAAGCCATGCCGGCTTCGTAGCTTTCGTCGATTGATTTTGTTCCTCTGAGGCTTCTTCAACTGCTTCACCGCCAGCTTTGTTATCCTCGATCATCGTTTGCTCATTAACAGAATCATCTCCAAACAGATGCTTCATATCTTTTCGCGTAAGGGATACTGTTACGGTTACAATAGCACCAGCAGTGTAGACGGTAGGGTTCTCATCATCAATTACTGAAAATGCATACAATAAATTATAAAAGATAATATAAAAGATACAATATCGCATAAATTATGATATTCTAATTAATGTAAATATTTTACAGAAATAAAAGAAATAACTGATAATGAATTACCTTCGGATCGTACTTTGAAGTCAATGTACGGCATATTTCCAAGAACTTTTATAACATCTTCATATTGACTGTCTGACAAATTTCTAAGTATCAGTCTTCGTTCTTCTCCTTTTAATTGTGCGAATTGTTGAAGACTTTTGATTTGACGCTAGGAGAAAGTCATAAATTTGTTATTAAGAGATTTATCGATAATAATACAAGCATTATCGATAGATAGAATTTGTTACAATATAGTGTCACTAATACCTTCTTCGCGTGGAAGTATTTTAAATTATCCTCCGTTATGTGTGGTAATTGAAGGAGAGGGTTTTTAAACTCCCAAAATCCTTGAACGACCATTGGACACAGTTTCATACAATTTTCTATAGTTGTTATGGTTGGTACCCGTGGTACTAAAAAAAGTCATCAATTATTGTTTCCATTGTATACATGTCATAAAGTTACATTGAAAAAAATCAAATATTTACCTCTTCTGGCATAAGCTAAAAGTATAACTTGATGGACACAGGCAACCATTTCTTGAATCAAATATGGGCATTTCTTTACAATATACTGTCTATCTTTATCCAGTGTCTCTGGATTAAGTGGTATACGAGATAAATGCGCATGCAATAATGCTCTAGCTTTAATTGAATACAAGTGGCATAATGGTACTTCCTTGTTTTTTTCTCCCAAGTTAGGTAATTGTTTGATAAGCTGAAATATGTATATAGTAAATAATATGCATATAATATGTATATAATAAAATTGTTCTTTAAAAAAAAATTAAGAAATTAAATATAATTAAATTTACCGAAGGAACTTCTTCACCGTCAGAGTGTCTCTCGACTATTTCTGCGTTACGCTTCTTGAAGAATTCAAAGGAAGCAGCGAGTATCATGATGACTCTCTTTAATGACATAGATGGCGTTTTCACGAAGAAGAAGTAATACATTTCGGTTGTTGTTAAGAGAACCTAAAGATAAATATGGACATATATAACAACTGATAATTTTATCACATAATAAAAATTTGGCATAAAAATGCCAATTACTTGATCACCAGTGTAGCGAATACTCTTGTACCACCACATTCCTACAACCGTTGGTAAAGCAACCATGAACACTAATGCGTATAGTCCTAAGACCCATACTGAATTCTCTTTTTCAACGATCCAAGAAGGCAAAGCTATACCAAAGCTCATCGCCCCTGGACCATCCGGATTTCCATATTTTTCCCAGTTTTTTCGTGCTTCATCATCCGTTAAAGCTTGGTAAGCTATTTTTGTTAATAGAAAAACAACTCAATTTATATCGAGAGTAACTAGAATACTAGGTATTAGTGATAGCAACTTAATCCTAGAATAATTTTCAAAAATTAACATTAAATATTTAATTTTTAACTGTTATAGGATTAATTTCGAATGCGGATACTCTAACGATTTTTATCAACCTTTCCTATGCTGTATTATTATCATATGCAATAACTGTGTTAAATTTATTAAATATATTTAATAATATACTCTATATGACATTCAATATTTACATCATATATTTTATATCTGTGCAAAGATCCTCTCGCATTCCTTACCTTTAGTTAATTTCATAAAAGCTTTTTCATTTCCTGTTTCTTTATCGGGATGAAGAATTAAGGAGAGCTTGCGGTAAGCTTTCTTAATCTCACTTTGAGAAGAACCCTACAATTGCAATTTTTGGCATCCATTTTTGTTACATAACAAAATTAATGGTATATATAAACATTCTATTTTATACTTACAGGTGGTATACTTAATATCTCATACGGGTCAAAGTTGGCCATTTCGTAATCAAATTGGGACACCTTATAGGCTAAGAGCAA